TTGGTATCTCTAATTTTCTTGAAGAGATCTCTAGTCTTTCCCATTCTATTGTTTTCCTCTATTTCTTTGCACTGATCACTGAGGAAGGCTTTCTTATCTCTCCTTGCTATTCTTTGGAACTCTGCATTCAAATGGGTATATCTTTCCTTTTCTCCTTTGCTGTTTGCTTCTCTTCTTTTCTCAGCTATTTGTAAGGCCTTCTCAGACAACCATTTTGCCTTTTTGCATTTTTTTTCTTGGGGATGGTTTTGATCACCGTGTACTGTCAGTATTTGTAAATAAAGAGGTGATGGGTGTGTATAAACGCCTTGTTTCTAGCTCCTTGTGTATTTTGACACCATTTCTTTTAAGCACACTAGGGGGCAGAATTACTGTGTTAATTGGTTTTGAGATAAAATTACATCTTGTACTTTTATATAAATAAGGTGTCTTTAGCATCTAAAGTTGGTAATTTTTGTTTTTGCGTTGGTTAAACAGTGACGATAATTTCACCCCTGCCCTGAAAATTGAAACCTTTGAATTTGCCCATTTCAGGTGTTATTTCTTAAAATAGGAACCAGTCTGAGTAAGGGCCTTGTGTTCTCGCTGTTACCCCTCGTGTTGGAGGAGGGCTATGAGCCCCACAGTCATTGGCCTGTGTTGGATTCCATCTGGCGCAAACAGACAAGAAAGCACCTGCTCTCCACTTTACAAACGCTAGGAAACCAGCTCCCCACATGGAAGTGGGGGGCGGGGGGGCGGCAGCGGGCTGACAGTGTGCATCGCTTTGCCGCGGGCAGGGCTGGGTCTGGCCTGTGGCCACCGTGAGGCTCCCTGCTGCTCGCCGAGTTGTCCAGTCGCCCCGTTGCCTGCCCTTCCCCACCGCCCTCCAGATGCCTGCCCAGCTGCGGGCAGCACTCCTGGCCCCCTCGCTGCCTTCCTGCAAGCAGAGCTCGCTTCCCGGTGTTCCCAGAAGGGCCTGTGTTCCGCTGTATGTGTGCGCCCAAGTGGCATTTCTACTTTGTGGAGAAAGTCATGTCCTCACGTCCCTGGGGTGGGTGCGTCTGGGACGGGGCAGGGAGATGGCTTGTGGAGCTGGCTTCGTGTCCATCCAGAGGTGGGCTAGCAGAGAGCGTGAATCCACTCTCCCCTGGGGGGATCTTCCGGGCCCTAAGGAGGATGCTGTGGGGAAGCTGGAGCAGAGTCTGCCTGGGTCTGCCGCTGACGTGCAGGGCTGAGCGTGGGTGCCTGCCTGCCTGGCCACCCAGGTGGGTGTGCCATGGTGGGCGTGGGGGCCACCTGGCCCTCAGCTTGCTGAAGCCTGCAGACGGCCGTGCCCTGCCCGCCTGCAGGGCTGTGGCTCGGGCTGTCCTGGCTGCGGTGACCTGACTGCAGGCTGCATAGGGGCTGCTGCTCTTTTGTGGGGCCGCGTCCACTGTCGGCACCAGCGAGGCTTCCTGCTCAGAGCCTGTGGAGAGCCTGGTCTCTCTGGGGAGGAGGGGACGGTGGGGCGCCTGCTTCCATGGCCGCTCGGTTAAGGAAGCGAGTTGTCGGGCTGGAGTTTCCTGAGTGCCAGGTGCCATGAACGTGTGAACGTAGGAAGGAGCGCTGCGTGCACCCCTCTGGTGTAAAAGCTTCTCGTGACTGTGAAGCGTTGGGCCGCGGCGAGCAGCGCAAACGTGTCCCGGTAATCCGCTCTATTCCGGGTTGTTTCCAGGGACGTTCCGGAGGATCACCGCGGCGGCCTCGAGGCTGCTGACGGACAGCACGGACGGCGGCTTCTACAGCCTGGAGAGCCTGAACGCGCGGGTGCGCTCCATGGTCCCCACGCACCCGGCACTGGTGCTGCTCTGGTGTCAGGTCCTGCTGCTCGTCAGCCACACCGACTACGGCTGGTGGGCGGAGCTGCAGCAGACCCCCAGGTACGTGCGCGCTCTCCCCGGCAGGCCCGCCCGGCTCCTGCGCCTGGCTCGCGGCAGCCGGAGCTCGGCTGGTCTTCCCCAGGCGTTGAAAGGTTCTGCTGCCCATTCCTCTTTCTTTCCTGGACACCATTGCAGGGAAATGTGGTTTGACTGTAGGCATTCAAAGCAGCCGCTGCTTTTCACATGTGATTTCCTCCACAAGCTTTTGACACTGTTCCATCTTATGGGCCATTCTTGCCATGCTGTGTCCCTCCTGCTGGGTTCTTGTTCTTAAATTGGTTCCACAGCCAGACATGTTGCAACGTCCTAACTTTGTTATAAGTTAAATGTGGTTCTGCTTATTCTTAGATAATGCAGTCATTATTTAGCAGCGTTTCAAAACTACCTTATTTTTTGTCGTTCAGAACGACTTACAAAGTATGTGATTATGGGTGGCCCTTTCTTTGTAAAAAGTTTTCAGGTCTGACTCTCTTGCCCAGCCACGAGTGCCTATGTGGAGATAAAAGCTTTGATCTCCACCCCTCCCCGCCCCCACCCAAAACTGAGTCCCCAGGGCAGTGTTTCTGGAAGACTCTGGAGGCCCCCCCGCCCTCAAGGAGAGAAAGCTCTGGGAACAGAAGGCTGCAGGGCCAAGGTCAGCCCCTCTCCGCTCGGCCTGTGAGACAAGCCTTGTGCAAGCACACCGCCCTGTGCTGTGAACCGCGGGGTGTGCGGAGGAGGAGTCAGGTTTCCGGCCTCCGCGTGCTCACGGCGAGCTGGGGGAGCAGAGCCCTGCGTGTCTGACCTGCTTAGAGGACAGTGTAAGCCCGCCACGATGGCTTCATGCCGTCAGAGTGAGGAACAGAGAGTCAGAGTCCTTCCTTGAGAGCTTCTTCACTGCATGTAAATCGCCAGGGGGGCTCGTTCAGATCAGGTTCGATTCACCCCAAGAGCGGGGGCCCGGGACTCTGCATTTCTGCCCGGCTCCTGGGGTGGCCGGTGTCTGGTCTGAGGGGCCTGCTCTGTACCGAGGCCGTATGTCCTTCTGAAGATTGTGCCTCAAGAGTAACGAGGGCTTGTTCCAAGGACCGGGCCCACTGTTGGACCTGATGGCCGGGTACTCAGGAATTGGGGTGCTGGCCTCTTGTGTTCTTGCCACCTGCCCAGAACGAGTCTGGGGAGTCTCACCACGACCTCCCCGTCATACCAGGCAGACCTAGGTGGGGCGGGCCCTGAGCTAGCTGTGAGTACCCATGGGTGCTGGGCGGGCGGACAGAAGTGAAACGGCACCCACCACCATAATGGACCCGTCTGCCCCTCTGCAGAGCTTCTCAGCCCCCCGACTCTCTACCTCGTCTTCTGCCTCCTCTTGACCTGTGGGGCGTGGTGAGGGCAGAGGCGGACCCAGAGCGGCTTCCGGAGGAGATGGGAGGGCTGACCCCGGCCTGGTGACATGGACAGCCTTCCACAGAAGGCTCATGTGGGCTCTCCAGCAGTGTGGGACAGTGTCGTGGGCTGTGTGGAACTGAGTGTTTGGGTGAAAAGACATAAGGATGTGGGACAGACAAGTGCAATTCTGTGATCCTCAGTTGCGTTCCAGATCTGGGGGATGAAACCACGAGAAAGGACAGTATTGGGACAACAGAGTGCATTCGAATGTGAGCTCTACATAACCTGCTGTTGCTTTGGGTTTTGAGTAGTTCTTACACCTGCCGAGGCATTTAGGGGCGCAGTCTCTTGACCTGCAGATGACTCTTGAATGGTGCAGGCCCCAGAACTGCATGTATGTGGAGTGTACATGTGTGTGTGTAGAGCATGTGCACGTGTAAAGTGAGTATGTGTGTGTGTGCGTGTGCCTGAGCACAAAAGTGGTGACTTACTAGTAGTTGAATCTAGGTGAAGAGTATGTGACTGTTAATTGAATTTTTCTTTCAGTTTTTCTATTGGCTTGAAAGTTTTCAAAATAGAAGTGAAGGAAAAAAGATGGGCCAGGGCCTTTAGAGAGCAGCTCCAAACAGTGGTGGGGAGGAGGTCTGCTCTAGAGGGAAGTAGAATAACAGGAAATGGGGACACGAGAGTTTCTGGGTGAGAGGTTGAAGGTCGTGGGCCACCCCTTATGAAACAGCATTACCGAGAATTAGCGAGAGTGGATGGGCTTTGAGGCACAGACGTCAGCTTTGTGATGCTGATTTGGTTTTTGCAAGATTTTTACAGTCGAACTTACGTTTTCCTGGTTTCTCTCCATATGTTAGCAGATACAGGAAGCTAGTCCATCCTTGGTTCTTAGCTCAGTCACTGCTTCCTTGGGCAAGCTTCCTGATTTCTCTTTGGTTGCTGAAGTCTCACACTGTCTGCTCTCACCGCAGCCTTTGCCTCTGTTTTTAGTATATGTGCTGCCGAAGCGAGCACCCTTTGCCGCTTTTTTCTGGCATGTGTTGAGACTGTCATTTGATATTTATTTGAGTGGCAATTTGGTTTCCATCTCTCTCTCTCTCCCCCTTAGAATATAATCCCCACAAGGGCCCTTATTGTATTCCCAGCACTAACATGAGTTAGTGATTTAATTACCCTGATAATAGAAGCAATAATAATATGTTGGTAAAACCCTTTTATGTATAGATCACAAGCACTTATATAGCACCAAGTGTCAGCCAGGTATTGTTTTAAGGGCTTCCTGTTATAATAAGTTATTAAAACTCTAGTAATGTGCGTATATTACAGACAAGAAAACTTCTTTTCCCAGAGAAGTTAGGTAACTTGCCGACAGTCACAAGTTAACATGCATGTGTGCATATGTGGTCCCCCCCTTGTTTATTTCACCTGTTACAGCTTAAACTGTCGTCTTAGTGTGCATTCATTTCTGGACTCTGTCTGCTGTTTCATTGGTCTGTGCGTCTGGGTTTAGGTCAGTGCCGTATTGTTTTGATTACTGTAGGTTGTGTAGTTTGAAATCAGGGAGCACGATACCTCCAGTTTTGTTCTTATTTCTCAAGCTTGCGTTGGCTCTTCAGAGTCTTTTATAGGTTCTGTGTGAATTTTAGAATTTTTGGTTTAAGTTCTGTGAAAAATGCCACTGGAATTTGGATAGGGATTGCAGTGAATTTATAGGTTGCTTTGTGTGTTATGGGCATTTTAACAATATTGTTGTTTAGTCATTCAGTTGTGTCCGACTCTGTGGGACCCCCATGGACTATAGCCTGTCATGCTCCTCTGTCCATGGCATTTCCCAGGCAGAAATACTAGAGTGGGTGGCCATTTCCTTTTCTAGGGGGTCTTTCTGACTTAGGGATTGAACCTGCATCTCCTACCTTGCAGGTGGGTCTGAGCCACCTGGAAGTTCTTTAACAGGATTAATTCTTCTAATCCATGAGCAAGGAATATCTTTCCACTTTTAGTTTCTTTCATCAGTGTCTCAAAGTTTCACCTCCTTGGTTAAATTTATTCCTATTTTATTATTTTTGATGAAGTTGTTAATGGGATTTCATTAATTTCTCTTTGTGATAGTTTGTTATTAGTGTATAAAAGTGCCACAGATTTCTGCATACAATAAGTCCCCTACATACGAGCCCTCAAGTTGTGAGCTTTCAAAGACGCAAACGTGCGTTCACGTGTTCAGTCCTATAAGGGTCATGTGTCTGGTGTACATTGTCACACATATGCATCGTCTACAAACGGCTGTGCTTTTGTGTGCTTGACAGTACTGTGTAGGGTCCAGTAGTATAGGATCTTTATTTCAAGACCAGGATATCATCTGTGATGAGAGGGGAAAGCTACTACCCAGACATCACTGGATCATTTTTTTTAAAGGAGTAGATATAATTGAATCCAGCAAGGAACCGGAACCTGTGCCATCAATATCAGGCATGGGTGAAACTGCATCTCCCCCTCCATCTCCTCTTGCTGACGATCCTTCTGCTCTCCCATCTCCCACCCCCTCTCCCTCTCCAGCCAGTAACTTTTCTTGTCTGTTCACTCAGGGCCAACCCCTGTGTGTCTGCTGTTGTACTGTACTTTTCAAGGTACTATACTGTTAAGATTTCTTCATTTTTTGTATGTATTTCAATGTGTTATTTGTGTGAAAGGTATTTATAAACCCATTATATTACAGTGAGCTTACAGAGCTGATTGTGTTAGTTGAGTACTTAGGCCAACTTTGTTGGACTTGGGAATGCACCTTAGAACAGAACTCACTCGTACATAGGGGACTTACTGTATTGATTATGTATGCTGAAGTTTTACTGAACTGATTATTTCTAACAGGTTTATAGTGGACTCCTTAGGTTTTCTATGTATAGTATCATCTCACTTGCAAGCAGTGAAAGTTATACATCTTTCTGACTTGAATGCCTTTTATTTTTTTTTCTTGCCTTCTGTTATGGTTAGGACGTCCAACACTGTGTTGAATTAAAGTTGTGAAAACGGGCACCCTTGTCTTATTCCTGATCTTAGAGGAAGAGCTTTCAGCTGTTCACCACTGAGTATAATGTTAGCTGTGGGCTTGCCATATACGGCCTTTATTATGTTGACGTATGTTCTCTCTGTACCCGTTTTACTGAGAGTTTTTTTTTTAATCATAAGTAAATGTTGAACTTTCTTAAATGCTTCTTCCACATCCATTGAGATGATCATATATTTTTTATTCTTCATTTTGTTAATATGATGTATTTCATTGGTTGATTTACAGATGTTGAACCATCCTTGGCATCCCTAGAATAAATGCCACTTATCATGATACGTGATCTTTTTAATGTTCCGTTGCGTTCGCTTTGCTGGTGTCTTGTTGAGCTGTTTGCATCTGTCTTCATCAAGAATGCTGTGCTGTAATTTTCCTTTCTTTGGTGTCCTTATCTGTTTGTTATGACGCATGTCCATTTCCAAAAGGCGAACGTGAATTACTAGGATTTGGGATACAGAGTAGTACAAGTCATTATAATTTTTTTTTAATCTGTATACTCTGCAGATATAGAACTGCTTCATCAAACTGTTACCGAGGTTCTGTACCCAGCCCAGCCTGTACCCAGGCTCTCAGATGAGCCTGGGCTCCCAGGCCACGTGTCCTGGAAGTACCCATGGCTGCCACAGTGGGGTCTGCTCTGCTCTGCTCCTTATTTGGGGGTCTGCATCATCATGGGCTTATCCTTTGCTTTCTACTGTCACGTGGACCGTTAAGGTCCTGCATATGCAGCCATCTTTTATTTGAGAAGATCGTTTGCTATCAATAGCTGGCAGCATCTGTCTTGGGGCCTCGCCTTCCTACAAACTGGGACCAAATTTGGGTTGACATTGGACCTTCTTTGTGTCCACCGCTAATATTTTTGAATTGCACATTCTCTCGTCCATCTTCAGAGGCTCTTTCCCGTACGGCTATACCATGGCAGAACACAGAATTACAGCTTGAATGCAGGTCGTGTTGGGGCTGGCAGGAGGGCTGACTGAGAAAGGAAAGGTTTCTGTTGACGTATAATTTGCGGTGCAGTGAGTGCTGTCTTCTGTGCCCAGTGAGGTCAGGTCGCCCACCACAAGCAAGGTTCAGAACAGTACCGTCACAACAGGCGCTCCCATTCCGGGTGCCATCACCCCTCCCCCGCGCGCCCTCGGGAACCGTCACCCCGCGTTCTGTCTCCATGTATAGCCTCTTGCAGAACGCCCTGTGGATGGAAGCCCGTGTCTGTACCCTCCTGAGTCTGGCTTCTGTCACTTAGCTCGGTGTGTTTAAGGTTCATTCACTATGTTGCACATGATATGTCAGAACTGGTTTCTTGTGATTGTTGCATCGTATCGCATTGTGTGCACGTCCGCTTATCCATTCTCTCGTTGAAAAACAGAAATGGTAATTAAAGTTTTTTTTAACCTGTAGAATTTTTTATGCCAGTTCTCCTCCAAATGCTGAGATGTTAGTAGAGAAAACTGACACATTTCAGAATATCCTAGTCCTGATGTCATCTCCATCTCTGCTAAGCCTTGGCTGATGAGGTGAGGGGCTTGTCTTACTGACCCTCGAGTCAGTTTGCGAGAACGGCAGCTGCTGTGTTTTAAAAGTGGTGGCCAGCATTGAGAATCTCAGAGTTCATAATTCCCATGTCCTTAGGGGAAAAAAAAAGGTGAAAAGTAAACGTGAACTGAAGTGACCTTCACTGGTGAAGGGTTAATTTTGCAGAAATGCTTTTAATTGGGGTTTCCATGATAACACGGACACTACGGGCATGTTCAGGGCTGGCCACTGAAGAGTGAAACGTGGACGTGGGGAGGTTTTCTCCTGGCTCCTGGCAGCTTTCAGGGCGTTCCAGAAGCTATAGCTGTGCGATCAGGTGCCGCCGATGAGATAGGAGCACCGACCGAGCGTGCAGCTTCAGGGTGGACTTGGCCTTTCAGTCGAGCAGTTTAGTTTTCTGCCTGTTAAGTCTTCTCTTTTCTCTAGTTTTCCACGTGTGCTTTATCCCATAGCTCAGGAGTAGATCACTAAGAGTGGGTCTTACACACATCATTCTGGTGTGGCCGTTTGTAAAAGTAAATTGACTGCTTTAGAACTGGGACAGAGCAATAATCGTCTTCATTGTTTTGAAAATAAGCCCGCTGCCATCTCAGAAACACCATCAGAGCTTCTGTTGCTCCTTCTAGACGACGCAGCTTGTCCAGCACGAAGTCGCTGAGTCCAGAGATGTCTGGAGAGGACGAGGATCCCGACATGGCTTCCAAGCTGGGGATGTGCAATAGAGAAATTGTGCGAAGAGGCGCCCTCATTCTCTTCTGTGACTATGTCGTAAGTGTGCAAATGCCGGTAGTGGCGGGGTCCAGGGTTCGTGTGGGTAACGCCGCTACAGACTGACTTCCGCCGTTCCAGCGTCCCGCCAGTGAAAAGCCAAATTTGAATCCCGCTCCTAATTAGAACTAGAAATCAGACTTGGAGTCTGGTCCCAGGAGTAAGTTTGTCTGTAAAAGGCTGGGTCAGCTATCACTTGGAAAAGGAATTGGCAACCCACTCCAGTACTGTTGCCTAGAGAACCTCGAGGACAGAGGAGCCTGGTGGGCTGCCGTCCATGGGGTTGCACAGAGTCGGACACGACTGAAGCGACTTAGCATGCATGCATGCATTGGAGAAGGAAATGGCAACCCACTCCAGGATTCTTGCCTGGAGAACCCCAGGGACGGAGGAGCCTGGTGGGCTGCCGTCCACGGGGTCGCAGAGTCGGACACGAGCAGCAGCAGCAGCCATCACTCACTCGGGGCACTGGCAGCACTGGCAGCGCTGGCACCTTTGTTGTCTTCAGCAACAGGAATAATGGGAAGAAACTACAAATTTGACTGAGTGGGGTTCTGATTAAAAATTATTTTAGTCTGTGGAAAAGGTTTTCAGAAGTTAATTGCCATGTTTTAAATCGATTCCTGTTGGAATGGCATTCTTTTAAAATATGACTCTTGTAGTATTTTTGACCATAAAACTACAATCCTCTCTTGTTTAACACAGTAAGTTTGCAAAAACCAAATAAGCAAACAGAAGAAAATCAAACCTTGATGGTTGTTACGCAGAGAGAACCCGATGTTCCACCTCGTTGAGGTTTGATACTTTCTCCAGGTGCATGGAGAACCTCCACCTGCCGAGCAGACATGAGGTGCTTCCCTCCGCCCACACCCAGCAGAGCTCTTTTCTGCCGAGAGAGCAGTTTGTTAATACTTGCAGTTTGTTAATACTTACACTTTGCTTTACATTCTTGTTGTTGAAGTAGTTTTTCTATCTTGTTCTTGTTTTCTATCTTGTTCTACTTTTTAAAATAATTTGGTATAATTATATAATGCTGTTTTCACAGAAAAGTAAGAAAAATATAAGTTAATACTATCAGATTATCCCACATGAAAAGTATTAATCATTAACGCGATGGCAGAAAATTTAGCTTTTACAATTTCTGCCTAGAATCAGGAATTATAATGAAAAGGCAACATACATATTTAAAAATGTGTATTTTTTATCTCCTTATAAATCTTATATGAAATATCTTCCCTTAAGGTCCATCGAATATGTGGACTCATTCATATTGTAGATTCAGAAACTCTATCAAAAAACTGACAATGAACAGGAAGTTCCTTTTTTCCACTGACTTGTCACAAAGCTGGAGCAAGTGTAATTGGAGCGCTCCCGTCGGGAGGCCAGACCGAGGCCTGGAGGATGCAGGGTGCACCCTGGCTGGATGCCACCTGCCCTAGAGTCTCACATGGTCATCACTGCCCTGGGTGCCCCACACCCCCGCGCTCCTTAGTCCTGGGGGCTGTGCTGCTGGAGTGCACGTCCCTGGGTCCTGATGGAATGTCACGGCCACGGTGTTTGGTTGCTGGGGGTGGGGGTCAGGCTCCATGAAGTGTGTTTTGAACTCGTTGGTATCGCTGTTCAGACAGTAGGTATTTTCAGTGAGGGCTGTAGTTTGGAACCGGTTCTCTCCTTCCTGCCCCTCCTGGCCTCTTCTGTGGCGTCGCCAAGTGCTGCCGCCGTGTCCACTAGATGGTGGCCTCTCATTGCTGGCTTTGTCCTCAGTGCCAGAACCTGCATGATTCAGAGCACTTAACGTGGCTCATCGTGAACCACATTCAAGACCTGATCAGCCTGTCGCACGAGCCTCCTGTTCAGGACTTCATCAGCGCCATCCATCGGAATTCCGCCGCGAGTGGCCTTTTCATCCAGGCAATTCAGTCTCGCTGTGAAAACCTTGCAGCTGTGAGTCTCCCGGGTGCCGGCTGTGCTGGGTGCTGGTTGCTGTGTGGGCTTTTCCCGAGCTGTGGGTGTGGGGCGACCCTTGGTTGTGGCGCGCGGCCGTCTTGCGGTGGCTTCTCGCGCTGCGGGAGGCGGGCCCGGGGGCGCGCGGGCTGCGGTAGTTGCAGCTCCTGGACTGGAGCAGAGGCCCCAAAGTTTCGGGCACGGGCTGTGTTGCCCCTCCCGCATCAGGGGTCGAACCCGTGTCTCCTGCGTTGACAGATGGATTCTTTACCACTGAGCTACCGGGGAAGCCCCTATTGGTTTTTTTCCCTAACCCATTCTTTGCACTGGGCAAACCTGCTACCCTCGTCTCTCTCCTCCTCTCGCTCCGCAGCCCACCATGCTGAAGAGAACTCTCCAGTGCCTGGAAGGGATCCACCTGAGCCAGTCGGGCGCCGTGCTGACGCTGTACGTGGACAAGCTTTTGTGCACGCCGTTCCGTGTGCTGGCTCGCATGGTCGACACCCTTGCTTGCCGCCGGGTGGAAATGCTTTTGGCTGCGAATTTACAGGTACTAGGAAATAACACTGAGGGTTGACTTTTACTGGAAACTTAGCAGGGCAGGTGGAATGGTGGGCTGGTCCCCCCCCTCTCCACAGGCGGCGTCTTCACGGCCCCAGGGACGTGGGCAGTGTGGCTGCGTTGGTCCTTCTTGTGTGTCCAACGTTGGTGCTTCTGTGCTTCCAGTCCCCCTCTGCTCCCGGGAGTCGGATGCAGCGTTTGTGTTTTGTAGAGGAGTATGGTGGTTCTGACCTCCCCTGCGTTGCGCACACTGACGCGGTCTTGTCTCCTCTAGAGCAGCACGGCCCAGCTGCCGGTGGAGGAGCTGATCCGGATCCAGGAGCACCTGCAGAGCAGCGGATTAGCACAGAGGTAACTCAGGGCCGGGCTCCTCGCCGCGGGTGCAGAGGCGCGGGTTCGCGAGGGCGTGGAGGGACGTGCGTTCTAGGCGGGAGACGGGCCTCGAGAGAGAGCCTTCGAAATAACCCAGTGTCTGTGTCCAGAGAGCAGGCCCGCTGGGCCGTGTTAGTGCCCGTGGCTGAGAAGGCGCGTGTTCGTGCAGCCTCACTTACTGTGTGCTCTGAGTGCAGAGCCAGTGGCCACCTCTGTCTCAGTAAGGGTCAGAACCTGTGATCTGATCACTGAGTCAGATGGCAGAGCTGAAGAGTCTCACATGGTCATCACTGCCCTGGGTGCCCCACACCCCCGCGCTCCTTAGTCCTGGGGGCTGTGCTGCTGGAGTGCACGTCCCTGGGTCCTGATGGAATGTCACGGCCACGGTGTTTGGTTGCTGGGGGTGGGGGTCAGGCTCCATGAAGTGTGTTTTGAACTCGTTGGTATCGCTGTTCAGACAGTAGGTATTTTCAGTGAGGGCTGTAGTTTGGAACCGGTTCTCTCCTTCCTGCCCCTCCTGGCCTCTTCTGTGGCGTCGCCAAGTGCTGCCGCCGTGTCCACTAGATGGTGGCCTCTCATTGCTGGCTTTGTCCTCAGTGCCAGAACCTGCATGATTCAGAGCACTTAACGTGGCTCATCGTGAACCACATTCAAGACCTGATCAGCCTGTCGCACGAGCCTCCCGTTCAGGACTTCATCAGCGCCATCCATCGGAATTCCGCCGCGAGTGGCCTTTTCATCCAGGCAATTCAGTCTCGCTGTGAAAACCTTGCAGCTGTGAGTCTCCCGGGTGCCGGCTGTGCTGGGTGCTGGTTGCTGTGTGGGCTTTTCCCGAGCTGTGGGTGTGGGGCGACCCTTGGTTGTGGCGCGCGGCCGTCTTGCGGTGGCTTCTCGCGCTGCGGGAGGCGGGCCCGGGGGCGCGCGGGCTGCGGTAGTTGCAGCTCCTGGACTGGAGCAGAGGCCCCAAAGTTTCGGGCACGGGCTGTGTTGCCCCTCCCGCATCAGGGGTCGAACCCGTGTCTCCTGCGTTGACAGATGGATTCTTTACCACCGAGCTACTGGGGAAGCCCCTATTGGTTTTTTTCCCTAACCCATTCTTTGCACTGGGCAAACCTGCTACCCTCGTCTCTCTCCTCCTCTCGCTCCGCAGCCCACCATGCTGAAGAGAACTCTCCAGTGCCTGGAAGGGATCCACCTGAGCCAGTCGGGCGCCGTGCTGACGCTGTACGTGGACAAGCTTTTGTGCACGCCGTTCCGTGTGCTGGCTCGCATGGTCGACACCCTTGCTTGTCGCCGGGTGGAAATGCTTTTGGCTGCGAATTTACAGGTACTAGGAAATAACACTGAGGGTTGACTTTTACTGGAAACTTAGCAGGGCAGGTGGAATGGTGGGCTGGTCCCCCCCCTCTCCACAGGCGGCGTCTTCACGGCCCCAGGGACGTGGGCAGTGTGGCTGCGTTGGTCCTTCTTGTGTGTCCAACGTTGGTGCTTCTGTGCTTCCAGTCCCCCTCTGCTCCCGGGAGTCGGATGCAGCGTTTGTATTTTGTAGAGGAGTATGGTGGTTCTGACCTCCCCTGCGTTGCGCACACTGACGCGGTCTTGTCTCCTCTAGAGCAGCACGGCCCAGCTGCCGGTGGAGGAGCTGATCCGGATCCAGGAGCACCTGCAGAGCAGCGGATTAGCACAGAGGTAACTCAGGGCCGGGCTCCTCGCCGCGGGTGCAGAGGCGCGGGTTCGCGAGGGCGTGGAGGGACGTGCGTTCTAGGCGGGAGACGGGCCTCGAGAGAGCCTTCGAAATAACCCAGTGTCTGTGTCCAGAGAGCAGGCCCGCTGGGCCGTGTTAGTGCCTGTGGCTGAGAAGGCGCGTGTTCGTGCAGCCTCACTTACTGTGTGCTCTGAGTGCAGAGCCAGTGGCCACCTCTGTCTCAGTGAGGGTCAGAACCTGTGATCTGATCACTGAGTCAGATGGCAGAGCTGAGACGCGTTGCCTGGAAGTATGTCTGCAGCTCATCAGCGTTCTCTCTCCAGAGCAATCACCTCATTTTGTCTGCAGAGCCTTAGAGGCCTTTATCAGAAGTCCTGGTATCTGTCACATGAGTGTTTCCATCACTGCAGGATAAACAAAAGGGAGCTTTACGTTCTCTCTGCACAGCGGGGAAGGTGTGCGCAAGAGCGCTGGGTCCGTGTGCTGTGCTGCAGTCTCTGGAGCAGCAGTGGATGCTTTAACTCAGGGGGACAGGACTTGATGGGCAGTGTGTGGCCTTAGGTGACTTGTCAGTACGCAGTGACTTACATTGTAATCTGCGTCAGGACGTTGTTCTCAAAACAAGTGATGGGAGGTCAAACTTCCTCTTTTCATCCCTAGACGAGGAAGAATAAAGATACCCTGTGCCAGATGAGGTGATTGTTTATGAAATGGGTGTAGATGGGTATGAATTGTGTATTGTGTGGAGATGAAGTGGATTCTGAGCGCTGGGGTCTCACCTGGTCTGTTGTGCTTTATGTATGTGCTGTTATGCTGTGTGTTCCCTGCGGCGCTGTTTGGTGTTAAGTGAGGTTTCTGAAGAATGCTGACGGGCCATGTCTCTGTGGCTGTTACCCGTCAGCTGAGCCTGACTTTGCATCGTGACTTGTGTGAGCGTTGATGAGAAACAGCTCTGCACAGTTTCAGGCATGTCTCACCTCGCTGGACGAGCCCGTGTGGCTTCTAACCTGCGTGCGATTGGCTTCCAGGCACCAGAGGCTCTACTCCCTGCTGGACAGGCTTCGTCTCGCCACCGCACCGGGCTCGCGTGGCCCCATGCCCCCGGTCACATCCCACCCCCTGGACGGGGACGGGCCCCTGGCACTGGAGGCAGTGAATCCTGACAAAGTAAGTGTCTCTGTGTGACCCCGGGCCCTCGGGTGGCTGAGGACCGCTGTCTGCCTTGGCCGCGGGGTGGCTCAGGTGGCAGGCCGTCTGGCGCCCAGCGCGGCCCCCGAGGGTGCTCGGCCGGCCCTGTTTCTTGCCAGTGATGGGCACAGCTGCATCAGTGACAGGGCCGTGCAGTCCAGCCCTGGCCTTTAGCAGGGCCTGAGGGTCAGGTGGTCAATGGGAGAATCAGAACACGGTGTCTGCGGCCCACCCACCGGAGCTGTCTCCTCTGCTTAGGCCTGCTGACCTGTGCGTATCCACGCCCAACCCGCGGGCCCCGGTATCACCCTCCCCACTCACCTCAGAGCTGGGGCCCATTCAGAGCCCTGGTAGAGTGGACCCCAGAATCCAGCAGCCCAAGCAGAGACTAGCGAGGCCCGGGCTGCAGTTCTCAGGCATGACTTGTCCTCACATCCATGGCACTGGCCCTGGGGAGAAGGAGCAGAGCAGACCTCTGGAGGCGATAGGTGCAATGCCCAGCAGGGTGGGCAGAGGTGGGCCCGCTGCCCTCGGGGCACGGCTGAGGCTCAGGGACAGTGGCGCCTTCAGCAGATGAGGGGAGGCAGTGCAGACAGGTGACAAGCCCTCGTCACCACCCTCGTGGCCGTTCCCATAGGAAGGCCTGCGGGGTGGAGAATGGCCGGTATCCGGCTTTGCTGAGGGTGTAGTCACGGCCTGGGGACGGCCCGGTGTCCTTGGGTTGGGCCGTGGGACGTGAGGGTTGGTCAGCCTGGAAACACGGTGGTGGTCAGGTTGAAGCCTCTTGAGAGCCCTGCGCAATCCAGCCTGCCGTCTCCCCCTCTTCTGCCCAGGACTGGTACGTGCGGCTGGTGAAGTCCCAGTGCTGGACTCGGTCAGACTCTGCCCTGCTGGAAGGCGCAGAGCTGGTGAGCCGGATCCCCGCGGGTGACCTGGGCGCCTTCATGATGCACTCGGTACGGCGGGGCCGGGACGCCAGGGCCCCGTGTCGCTTGGGTTGCGCACTCGGGCCTGCTTTGTTCCACTGCCGCGTGACCTGCTCGTGGCGTGTACCCCTCACCTTGTGCCTTAAAGGCAGAGAACCTGATCCAGGCAGGGCAGCGTGTGATCCCAGCCCCCTGAGAGTCCTGAAGGGGGGAGTTGTGTTTGACTCACCCTTTCACGCAATTAAAGGAAGAAAGTTTAAGTGTTAGTCACTCAGTCGTGTCCAACTTTTGGCGACCCCATGGACTGTAGCCCGCCAGGCTCCTCTGCCCATGGCATTCTCCAGGCAGTACTGGAATGGGTTGCCATTTCCTTCTCCAGGGGATCTTCCCAGCCCAGGGATCAAACTTGTATCTCTTGCGTCTCCTGTGTTGGCAGGTAGATTCTTTGCTACTAGCGCCGCCTGGGAATCTGAAGGAAGCAGGTTCCCTTGAATTGTAATGAGTTCTGACTGCTTGTCTCGTGCTCATGAGAGGCGGTATCAGGATGGAGTTGTGGTGCATGATTTAATAGACTCCGTGATGATGTTCTGGCAGTTAGGAAGCCCCTCCCTGCATGGAATGGGGGCCCCTCCCTGCACCCAGTGCATGCAGGGAAGCCCCCGCCCTCCCGAGGCGTCCCGCAGGCTGCTGTGTGGCGAGGCTGCAGCCTTGGCGGGTCCCTTCTCAGACCTCCTGGGACCAGCAGCTGATAAACCTTTCTGTGTCGTGGTGCTGCCTTGAATAGACCAAGTGGGAGTGAAGCAGGGGTCTGGGGACAGTCCAGGCGCGACATGGAGAGCCTCAGGGTGCAGCCACGGAGCCGCGTACTGATCCTCCATCAGTGCAGAAACAAATGCTCCGTGGAAAAAGAACGGGAGAATCAGTGTGCTAAAATCATTTTAAGAGCCGTTCAGTGAAAGCTGATTTGCTGGTAAATGACAAGCTTGCTTAATAACCGATTTAATTTTCCAAATTTGCTAACTAGACTTTTAACAGCTTTAAAGAAAGGCTCAGCTGTAACGGCTGTACCAGAGGTCGCTGGTGATGACGCGTTTCTGAACGTTAACTAAAGATCGGCCAGAAGGGTCCTTAAGTGGCTTTCAAAAGCTGGCAGAGCGCAATACAAATTAAAGCATTATTGAATGAATGCCGTTTTTCCAATCAAACTTGCCACATTTCCATGCCTGCTTTGATTTCTTTCAGCTGCTTTTGAAACGTCACTTGTCTTTTTCAAACATTGGGGACTTTCGGTGTTCCACTGATTTCCTGGGTGGCACATCAACTTGATTTTGTATCTGTATCAGTTAAAATTCCATCATATTAAATTTTTGACTTTAGATAAATATGAAGGCAGAAACACCTCTTGAAAATTAAAGTACCAGGACCTCCCTGGCTGTCGAATGGTTAGGATTCTGCGCTTCCCCTCGGGAGCGTGGGTTCCACCCTTGGTTGGGGAGCTGAGATCACACATGCCTCATGGCTCAGCCAAAATAAGTAAATAAAAATTGAAGGACCCAGTAGAGTCCAGAAACACACTCACTGGTCGGATGTTGGACGGGGGTATTCGGTTATCTGTGAAAGAAGTGGGAGAATACACTTGTTAACACGTCTCTGACGCCCTGCTTATCTGCCGTCTCCTAATGTCTGTGTTCTTCCCTCCTCTGCTGTGTGTCTCTTGCCCAACTGAACATGTGTCACAGTCATTGTTCAACCTCTAATGCCCCAATTCAGGAGTTCAACCTGAGCCTGTTGGCTCCGTGCCTGGGCCTGGGCCTTCGTGAGATCTCAGGGGGCCAGCGGAGCCCGCTCTTTGAAGCAGCTCGCACGGCGACTCTGGACCGTGTGCGCGTTGTGGTCCAGCAGCTCCCCACTGTGCACCAAGCTTTCCAGCCGTTCCTTCCTGTGCAGCCCACCGCCTACTGGAGCAAGCTGGGTGAGCTCTTTGGTAAGTAAGCTGAAAGCTCCTCTTCCTTTCATAAAGGGCGGCAGAGCCAGTGCCAGGCTTTGCACCGTGTGGAGGTACAGTGGGCACTGTGCGTTAATCCGCTGCTGCATTTACAGAGGCGCCGGGAGCCCGCTCCGGGTCCGGGCTTTGCGTGTCCTTGGTGTGTTTCCCGCTTTGCCTTTCTTTGACGTGGCACAAATTCCAGGCCCCGAGGAGTGCAGTCTCGGCCTTGGGAGCACGGGGCCTGGGCGCGTGGGACGGCGGGGTGTGTGCGGTGTGCTCCGGGAGCCGTGTCTCCAGCCGCCATCACATTTGCAGGGAAGGTCAGACCGTCCGCCCACGGGGCCTTCTGTTTCAGGGGATGCTGCGCTGTATCGGACTCTGACCACCCTGGCCCGGGCCCTGGGCCAGTACCTGCTGGTGTTCCCCAGGCTGCCCAGCCATTTGCACCTTCCTCCTGAGAAGGAGAGGGACACTGTGAAGTTTGTGGTCACGACTCTCGAGGTAAGCCGCAGCTCGGGAACTCAGGCCCAGAGCGGCAGGAAGTCTGAGGGCGCCGCCCATGGAGGGAGGAGGCCCCTCTGTCTGAATCCCAGAGCGGTGCTGGCCTGACGCCTGAGACCCGTCCTTTCCGCAGTGACCATGTCCTGCAGCACGCCCATCCCCGCTCTGCTGAGCGCGGTCACACCTCCTGTCGCCCCGTTGTGCAGTTTGCCTCGTGAGGTTGGCAGCAGCCCCTCTCGTCTCTGCCTCTGGGTTGTGGGAGTGCGGGGTGGGTGGGCTCTTAGTCAGACCTGGACCTGGCCTCCTGCCCGGGGTCTCCCAGGTACCAGGTGGGGAGGCCTTGTTCACTTATTTGTGAGTCTGTTTCCTTGATGCCAAGATAGTTTTTTCATTTAGTACAAACCATCCATTTAATATTTTTTCCAGGGAGAAAAAGTCGTGTGTATTCTAATTTTAGATACTTAAAAAGTAATGATCTGAGAAATTTGTTATTTTAAATTGAGCAATAAGCCTGCTATTTCAGCTGTGGGGAATTGACCATTCTATTGGTGTTAACACTTATAAATACCCCTAAAATGTGTGCACATGGTGGGGCACGGTCCTTTCATACGCCTTCTGGAGAAGGGTCCGTCCGGCCTGCATCCGGGGAGACAGACACCTGAAGAGTGCCCACGCCGCTGCCGCCTGACAGCGGGGGGCCAGCGGCATGCAGAGGGCACTCGCAAGCATGTTCCTGGGGTGAGCAGCCAGGCCCTGCTCGAGCCAGAGTGCTGTGGCCGCAGCCGTCAGGAGTGGGTTGTCACGGGCAGGGCGGCCCTCCCTGCTGCTTCCGGTTCAGGACTCAGTCCAGCCCTGTGAGAGCTGTTGGTCCCGTTTCACAGACGCGGGAAGCCGGGCTGAGAGGCTCTACCCGCTGGGAAGCAGCCCACCCAGCCTCGCTGTCAGGTCCAGCCTCCATGACTGTGGCCGAGGCCAGGCCCCGGGCTGTGGGAGCCCCCCTGGGCTGTGGGAGCCCCCAAGCTGGGGGCTGGGGGCTGGGGGATGGCCTGGCCCGCGGCCTGAGTGGTCAGCACCAGAGGCCGGAGGCTGAAGACAGGGCAGCCAGATGAGGCGGGCGTCCCCCAGTGAGCAGGCGGATCAGGGCTGGACAGGAGGGGCTGGGAGTGGTGGCCCCAGAGCCGTGGCTCCTGAGGGAGGTCTGGATGTGCCCGCCAGCGGGGCCTTCCTTCACACGAGCCGCCCCGCAGGCGCTGTCGTGGCACCTGATCCACGCGCGGGTTCCGCTGAGCCTGGACCTGCAGGCAGGCCTGGACTGCTGCTGCCTGGCCCTGCAGCTGCCTGGCCTCTGGAGCCTGCTGGCCGCGCCCGACATGGTGACCCACGCCTGCTCCCTCATCCACTGTGTGCGGTTCATCCTGGAGGCCAGTGAGTCTGAGACCGGGGCGTGCTGTCCTTTGGCCCTTGAAGCAGTAATCAGTGCCGTGGGGCTAGTCGCAGCGGTTATTTGCCACCTGTTCTCCAGGTGCTGAGTTGGGAATCGGGAGTGAAGAGGTGGAGGAATTCTGGGCCTTGCCTTCATCTCCAGTCTCCTGGAGTCTGCGCTAGAATTTAACTTGAATTTGCTTTTGTGTAGATTTGGAATTTCAGCTTACATTAAAAAAAAAATGCGTCTAATTTACGGCCCTTTGATTTCTGGTCCTAGTTGACTGTTTCATTCTTTTAGTCCTAAATCATCATAAGACTAATAAGATTACATTAAAAAAAATTACTTGTTTTGTGTTATAGTCAAAATGCTTGTTTCTCTACTGCATTAGTTTTTGAAATAAAAGTGTCTTTTCAAGGGACAGTGTCCTTAATGAGGGTCATTCGCCAAAATGTTTTTAAAATTGGATGTTATAGTTTACATGTGAGAGGGTGTCTTGATGTTTTGTAGTTTTAAATTAAATATTACAGAGTGGTGTTTTGAAGATTCATTGTTTAAATTGTTTTCATCTGTGCATTTGTAGTAACATGAAAACGAATATCCAGGGAGTGATTCATCAAAGCCAGGCTTCTTGGGGGCTCCAGGCATGCTGTTAACAGTAATGGTTCATGAGCTGTCTGATAAAAGCCCTCAGGGTCAGAGGTGGCAGAGAGCAGAAGGACTGAGGAATCCAAGTGTAGAAGTTCAGATCCTGGTGCATTTCGGATTAACCTAGAGATTGATACCTAAGTCTAGTGGGTCTAAAATTNTCAGAGGTGGCAGAGAGCAGAAGGACTGAGGAATCCAAGTGTAGAAGTTCAGATCCTGGTGCATTTCGGATTAACCTAGAGATTGATACCTAAGTGTAGTGGGTCTAAAATTGTCCCAAGTTGATTCACTTGGGAAACGTTCATAAGGCTGCATGAATGTGAAAATCTGAATTAGAAAGGAACGGTTGACATACTTTGGAATTCCTCTGTCTGTTCTGTTGTAATTTTAGTTGTGGTGCAGCCTGGGGACCAGCTTCTTAGTCCAGAAAGAAGGATGAGCACCCCCAAGGCTGCCAGGGAGGACGACATGGATTCAGACACACAGAGTAAGTCTCAGGGTCGTCTCCCTTACCTCGAGCCTTTGGGGGCTTGAGATTCATTCCCGGAAGAGGCCTCCTACCTGCTTGGTGTGGACGCTTGAGTGTCCTGCTCATCCTGGAGCTGGGGGCAGTGCCTTCTGCGCCCCGCTGCAGGCGTGCCCTGCCGTCTGGCTCTCCATGACCCCGCACCCCGCAGGCTGTCCTGCTCAGCTGATTGGGCTGCAGGAGGGTGAAGTGAATGCATCCACGTGAGGTGCCCATGAGCAGTCACGGCTCTGGCATGTGTGGCTGGTGGTGGTCTGTGCCTCCCACTCTGTGGGCCGAGCAGGTTGGGGGCAGGCGGCGGTTTGGGGTGTGTTTTGACAGAAGGATCCTCTCTCACGGGGGTGTCTGTTCAGACCCTCAGTACATCGCTGCAGCCTGTGGGATGGTGGCTGAGATGGTGGAGTGCCTGCCGTCCGTGTTGGCCTTGGGCCACAAGAGGAACAGCCACACACCTGCGTTCCTCACCCCGGTGCTCAGGAACATCATCATCAGCTTGGCCCGCTTGCCCCTCGTCAACAGCTACACACGCGTCCCGCCCCTGGTGAGTCAGGCCCTCCCCTGGCACAGGGCGGAAATGAGGCAGACTCTCGGCAGGCCCCTGACTCGGGGGTCCCTGAGCAGGAAGCCAGGTTGTGACCGCTCTGGTGTCCGCTGACGGGGGCCGGTGCACCCCTGTGTGCAGTCAAGACGCCCGTTTGGATTCCTCGGGCGCGATGTGGCTCATCCGTTAGTAGAAATACTCTGAGACAGGGTGAGTGATTACATGACGAAATAAGGTGATTTCTCCCACAGTGCCAGACGCGATTGTAAGGTCATCAGACCCGTCTGTTTCGTGGGAGAGCAGAGACTACACCCCCTCACGTGCCTCCCTGTCAGCAGGCACCCCAGGGTGGCCTGGGGGTTTGGCACAGTCGCAGCTCAGCTGCTCGTCCAAAGCTGGCTTCAGAACTGGAACCAGGATCCAGTGAACCTTGTTAAAGGGACCTGGCTCCAGATAGCTGGCAGGGCCTGGGCGAGCAGCGTGCGGGCTGTGGGGGCTGCTTCACTGCCCTTGCACCCCTGAAGAGAGAGAGGGGCCGCGGGCTGCAGCCAGCTGGAGGACGGTGGGCCGGGACCTGCGGCAGGCGCTTGCTGCTGCCTGGGGAGGGCGCGTGCCAGCCGGTGGGGCACAGCCTCTGTGCGCGCGAGCTTCTGCAGTGGTTGCTCGGAGGAGACGGCGGGCCCTTGGCCTGAGGAGGATCTTGCTGTGGGAGGGGAAGGAGTCCCACGCAGGGGCCCCTTCTGAGGAGAAGCCCAGTAGCTGCTGTCCCGACGTCACCGTGGAACTGGGAGTTGCGGGCAGTGCTGGCCCCCGGCGCCCCAGAGAAGAGCTGGGGAGCTGGCGCTGCCTTCTGGCCGTCACTACAGGTGTGGAGCCGGCTCGCCTTTGGGCAGGCGTGGGGAGCAGATACAGAAAGTCACGGTCCAGAGGCCCCGATGTCTGGCCTGCACAGACCATGCCCCGCAGATGAGGCTCCTTGCGTGAGCGCTCCACCCCACGTGGCTCCTCGGCCTGCGTCCGGACGTGCAGGAGGGTCTGGGGGGCACGTGAGGGGCCTCGAGAGCGTCTGCCAGAGGCCAGGGCGCTGGAGCTGCTGGGCCAGGTGGCTGGCCTTATGAGTCCAGCGCAAGCCCTGGCCAGAGGCTTGCATCCTCCAGGGTCCGGCTGGGAGCTGGGCTTCTGCTGCTGGAGCAGCGCTGGCCCCCCCAGTGCTGCGAGCGGAGAGCTCCCCACCTCCACCGTGTCTGCAGCCAGGGAGCCTCAGGGAGGGAGGGCGCGCTTCCAGGTGCCCTCCCCGTCTGGCCACCCTGCCTTCACATTTTCTCTCGCTCCCTTTCAGGTGTGGAAACTCGGATGGTCACCTAAACCCGGAGGGGATTTTGGCACAGTGTTCCCTGAGATCCCCGTGGAGTTCCTCCAGGAGAAGGAGGTCTTCAAAGAGTTCATCTACCGCATCAACACACTGGGTAGGCCGGGAGCCGGGGCGGCAGTGGGGTCTGCCTTCTTTTATTCCAGGGAGGAGTTGAGGCAGGACACAATCGCGTGCATGTGTTCTGTGATATATACAAACCTGTCACAATGACAAGTCTGTGTGCACGTGTGTGTGTGAGAGCGTTTCTTCCCACGCGTTCGCATCAGGTCAGGTGGTGCCCTCGTGATGGGTGGTGCTGAGCGGGTTCAGCCGTGTCTCAGCGCCTCAGCTGGAGGGAGCAGTGGTTGTCTGTGGGAGCCGCCTGTGACCGCTGCCGCCCCAGTTCCAGTCTGCCAGACGGAGCAGTGTGCTCACTGAGGCGGGGCACTCAGCAGACCCCAAGGGGACAGCGTTGGGCTGCGAGGCAGGCCACGTTGACCCCCAGGACTGCGGTTCTGCCGTCCATGACGTGGGGATCGTGGCTGTTGACACAGTTGCTGCAGCCTTAGGAACGGAAAGGGGCCCCTGCCGCACAGCATCTCTGTCAGCAGCAGGGTCCCAGGCTTCCCTCAGGACGCCACGCAGCATAGCGGCCGTTCACCCTCTCGTCCCCGTGTCGTGGCTGGGGGTAGCTCTGGTGCATGAGGGCTGTCTTCAGCAGAGCCTGCGAGGCTGCGCCTGGCAGGGCGACTCCACCCTGGCCCCAGCCGCACGTCGGGCCCCTCCGCCCAGCACCCCACCTCTTGGCCTCCACGGGGTCTGTGCTGCTGTGACGCTGGGCCGGCGTCCTCGCTGCCTCCTCCCCTCCCTGAAGCGAGCGGTGACCCCTCACGGGATACCCGCTCACCCAGCAGCATCTTGAGAGCGGCCCCTCCGGGAGGCCCTCCTCATGGCCTGGACTTCCCTGCAGATTACACCCTGTCTCCACCTACCGTCCTTCCTGAGGGGCTCAGGGCAGCCATTGCTCTGAGCTTTTATGCCTCTGCCCTGGGGTAGAGTTCACATGCCAGCCTGTCCATCCGCTCAGGTGTGGTTCCACGGTTGAGGCTGGACACACCCGCACAGTCTGGGGGTTTGACTCTTAAGTAAGGATGTCCCAGCCTCTGCTGAGCCGGGCAGAGGGCACTCTGACCCCATCCGAGCGTCGCCCGTTCGGACATCCACACAGGGCCCAGAGGGCGCTTCGCGTCAGGCCGCCTGGGCTGAACTCAGCCGCGTTGGTCCTCACCGCTGGGCTCGGCCGGCAGTGAGGCTGCATCACAGCACCGTCCTGAGGCTCTGGGCAGTGGCTGTGTGGGCACCTGGCCAGCGAGAGCCGGAGTGCCCACTGCCCCGTCTCACAGAGAAGGCGGAGCAGTGGGGACCCTCTGCCTAAAGCAACACTCGCGTTTCAGGGTGGACCAGCCGCACCCAGTTTGAGGAGACGTGGGCCACCCTCCTCGGCGTTCTGGTGACTCAGCCACTCGTGATGGAGCAGGAGGAGAGCCCCCCGGAAGTAAGGCCACACGAGGGCTCGTTCGGCAGCACCCCGTGCGTGGGGGCTGGGGCAGCACGTCCTGACTGGTGTTCCAAGGTCTGGGTGCTCTAGATTCATGACCAGGAGGCGTTTACCACAGCGTGCTGCCTCCAGGTCATGGGATTGTGTCCTTCCTTAAATATTTCTTGTGTCTGTTTCTCAGTATTCAGGTATAGTGTGTAGCAACATTTCATCAAAAAGAAAAGACACGTCTTAAAGGCCACACATGATTGCCAGTGTTCATTTCTCTTGACTTGTTTTGCAAAAGCTTTATCGGGCTTGCAGTGTTAATGCGTATTATAGTACTTTAATGTTAATAGAAGACATATTCTGAAAGCCTGAAATGTTAAAAGTCCTCAGATACACGTTCTTTAGGTAGAAAGTGTGGTATGAAGCAGCAGAAATGGCAGTTCAGAGAGAATATATGTCAGACGTCACCAGGGGTGACTTTTGCCAGAGTGGAGCCAGCAGCTTGTCGTATGCAGGGCTCCTCAAATTGGTAAGGAAATTGAGGACAGTTTCTTAAAAAGTAATTCCTATTTGGAGGTTTGTGCTTGGAGGAAACCTGGCTTTGAAAAGCAAGCCATTTGCCCATCAGATTTATCTCAAATCACAAATGCATGTGGATTCTGGTGAATTTAGGCAGATGCACTGGGACCCCGGCCGGGAAGGCAACGTCTGTCTGTCCCGCTCGGGGCCCATGCCCGCAAGGCCGCCTGGCTGGGCAACCACAGGGGAGGTAGCGTGCTGCCGGCGCGCGCCGTGGTGACCTGGAGCTCTCCTCCTTCCAGGAGGACACGGAGAGGACGCAGATCCACGTCCTAGCCGTGCAGGCCATCACCTCCCTGGTGCTGAGTGCAATGACCGTGCCTGTGGCCGGCAACCCGGCCGTGAGCTGCCTGGAGCAGCAGCCCCGGAACAAGCCCCTGAAAGCCCTTGACACCAGGTGGGCCTGAGAACCGCGTCTCCGGGCACAGCCGCGTGGGAGCAGGGAGGCGCCAGGGCACCCTTTGCTTTGCTCCCAGGGTGGTTTGCTGGCTGAGGCTGATGACCTGGCCTCCAGGGTCTGGGGCCGGCTCTGGCAGAGCTAAGGGTGCACTTGGGTGGGACCCGGGGGCCTTGGCTGTGCCGTGTTTGCTGGAGGCGAAGTTGGGAGCCTAGGGGTTCACTCTGAAGATTCTGGAGGAACCCGGTCGCAGTAACCTTTGCTCTGAACTTAGGTTTGGGAGGAAGCTGAGTGTCATCAGAGGGATTGTCGAGCAAGAGATCCAGGCGATGGTTTCCAGGAGAGAGAACGCTGCCACTCACCACCTGTACCAGGCGTGGGACCCTGTCCCGTCTCTGGCCCCGGCCACCACAGGTTCCAGGGGGCTCATGGGGAGGTTGGGTCGTGCGGGGGTGTCAGCCTGCACCCTGCACCCGTGAGCACTGCTGGACTGTCCCAGCGCCAGGGTCGGGGCTCAGGAGGGCCCACCCTCCAGAGAGTCGTCAGGGCTGCCAGCTGGGTGGGCACCTTGTCAGCGGCCACTGATGCTCCAACTTTTGAGCTCAGCCCGTTCCCATTCAGTCTGGTTTGTTATGGAGAACAAGTGATAATTCCGCATCAGCCTGCCGGCCCTGCCAGCTTCATATGCTCTGTGGAGACAGGACTCCCCACTGCGGGGACGCTCAGGGCTGTGTGGGGGCAGGACTCCCCACTGTGGGGACGCTCAGGGCTGTGTGGGGGCAGGACTCCCCACTGCAGGGACGCTCAGGGCTGTGTGGGGCAGGAATCCCTACTGTGGGGGGACGCTCAGGGCTGTGTGGGGGCAGGACTCCCCACTGTGCGGGGGGACGCTCAGGGCTGTGTGGGGCAGGACTCCCCACTGTGCGGGGGGACGCTCAGGGCTGTGTGGGGCAGGACTCCCCACTGCAGGGACACTCAGGGCTGTGTGGGGGCAGGACTCCCCACTACGGGGGGACGCTCAGAGCTGTGGGGGGACACTCACGCATCCTTGCCCCGCAGGTGCTCTCATCAGCCATGACAAGCTCCTGCTGCAGCTCAACCCCGAGCGTGAGCTGGGGGACATGAGCTACAAGCTTGGCCAGGTCAGTGCCCAGCGGGTGGCCAGTGGAGCTGGTTCCTCCCCATCCCGCCCTCTCCGTAACAAGCTGGCTGTCCTCTGTGTGTGTAGGGGGCTTTGTTAAATAATTCAGAAACACGGGCCCACAAGTGTTTTCTGGTGAGAGGACCAGTTTTGAGTCGAGAGCCCACCTCCTGGTTCCATTTGGTGCCGGGACCTCACCCTGACGTCCTCAGCAGCCCGATTCCCTTTCTTCTCTTTCACTGTCCCCTTTCTTAGAGGCGCTCTTCTTGCCCCTCCTCAGCTGCTCCTGTGGGCCTCATTGGGGTCTTCAGCCCTGAACCCCTGGGGGTCTGACCAGCCCTGCCCGGGGACGGGGGGCAGTGCTCACCTCGGGGACCCCCAGGCGGGGCCTGTGGCCCGGCGCCTGAGCCCCGGCCTGCCGCGTGTCCCCTGCAGGTGTCCATCCACTCGGTGTGGCTGGGGAACAGCATCACGCCGCTGCGAGAGGAGGAGTGGGACGAGGAGGAGGAGGAGGGGGCTGAGGCCCCGGCGCCGCCGTCCCCGCCCACGTCTCCCGTCAGCTCCAGGTTCCCTCTGCCTTCTGTCCAAGCGAACGGGAGCTCCGATGAGTCCCTTGTTTGGGGGCCTCTTGAAATGAACCTCTCATCTCTTTTGGGGGAAATTGCAGGAAACACCGGGCTGGAGTAGACATCCACTCCTGTTCGCAGTTTTTGCTTGAGTTGTACAGTCGCTGGATCCTGCCGTCGAGTTCCGCCAGGAGGACCCCCGTCATCCTGATCAGCGAGGTGGTGCGCTCGGTGAGTGCTCTCCCCGCCCCTGCAGTGCCCGGCGCTCCTGCGGGCTCATATCACCCGCCCGGGGCCGTACAGTGACGTGGGGGAGGTTGTAGTGCGTTTTAGGCCAAGGGAGGAGCTGTTTGCACGGTGCAGTCCGGGCAGACACGCCCCAGCCTAGCAGCTGCGTTGTGGAGCCGGCACGTGTCCCTCTGTCCAGCAGCCAAGCACCTATTCGGGCGGTGGTTGTCCAGGGGTTGCCCAGCAGAGTCCTCCGCGTCCGGGAGACCGGAGGGGACGCGGGGAGTGTAGACTCCTGTGGGCAACACCCGCCAGTCCTCGCAGTGTTGAAGTCACACTGACGGGTTTTCAAAGTCACTTACTCGTTGCCGGCTGATCACCCGGGTTACCGCCCAGGAGGAGGGATGCCCAGTGACCACGTCCGTCACGTTAGCTGCTTCTGTTCTTTTTACCTAAAGGTGTCTTCTTTCGGTAATGACTATTTTTTGAAGCCTGTTTTTTTCAGTATTCCTTTAAAGGTTTCTAGATTGTTTTGTATTTGGTCAAGTTGATATTTTTAAGAACCTCATTTCTAATTTGTAATGTAAGTTGCAAATTGACTTTTATCAAAAAAGTCAGCAAACTACAAGGAATACTAAAGATCTTAAAAAACACAAGTTACTAGAAATTCTTGGTGGTCCAGTGGGTAGGACGCAGCACTTCTACTGCTGTGGGCCCAGATTTGATCCCACAAACCACGTGGCATGACAAAAAAAATAATTGTTTAAAAATAGCAATGATAATACAAAGTTTTTAGTTACTTTGCATCTAAAGTCGGGCTCATCAGCAGTCTCTGGGTTCTCTCATACTTCCTGTGTGTTCAGTCAGTTAACTTCCAGTAACTTCTGGAAAACGCCACCGTGCCAGTGGGAGGGCACAGGAGAGAGAGGCAGGTCGGGTCAGCACTGTTACAAAAACGTATTTGACCTCATGACCCCAAGAAGCGTGGGTGCCTCCGCGGGTGGCCTGAAGTCCTGCTGGCTGAGTTGTTCAGCTGCCAGGGGCCCCTGAAGACCAGCCAGCCCCCGCCTCCAACACTCCCAGTGATCGGGGTCTTCCGTCTGGTCAGAGCCTATCTTCAGATGTAGTGTGAGAAACCGGGCACTGTGGGGAGATGGAACGAGTCATGGCCAAAGCACCGATTTCTGAGCCAGTCACCCGTTCCTCCTTCGCGGCTTTGGGAGCTGGGCTGGCAGTGGCCGCAGCGTGTGGGGCCCCAGGGAGACGGCGGGCACCCTTCCCTCCTGGGCCCAGGCTCCAGTGCAGGTTCGGCTCCAGGGTTTGGGACCCGGAGTGACCTGCCCCCTCCCGTCCACGTGTCCGCGTCCAGCTCCTCGTAGTCTCGGACTTGTTCACGGAGCGCAACCAGTTTGAGATGATGTACCTGACGCTGACGGAGCTGCGGAAGGTGCACCCCCAGGAAGACGAGATCCTTCTCCAGTACCTGGTGCCCGCCACCTGCAAGGCGGCCGCCGTCCTCGGGATGGTGAGCGGAGGGTGCCCCACGGTGCTGCGGAGCGTGGGGTGCCGGCCGAGCCTCCGGTGGGGCTCCCGAGGCCCTGGTTCCTGAGGTGGCAGGGTGCCTACACCCCCAGGAAGACGAGATCCTTCTCCAGTACCTGGTGCCCGCCACCTGCAAGGCGGCCGCCGTCCTCGGGATGGTGAGCGGAGGGTGCCCCACAGTGCTGCGGAGCGTGGGGTGCCGGCCGAGCCTCCGGTGGGGCTCCCGAGGCCCTGGTTCCTGAGGTGGCAGGGTGCCTCCTCCAGGGGCTGGGCTGTGCCTGTGGGGGTCGAGGCCAAGTCCTCCCGCCGTTGCCTGTGGCCCTCTGGGTGTGGCGCGGGAGGTGGAGGCGCCAGACTCCGGGCTGAGGGGCCCTTTTGTCTCTGTGGGAAGTTTCGCTGCTGGGCTTATTCGCATGGTAATTGTGCTCAGGCCTGGATCCCCGAGGCTAAAGCTGTGTTGTCTGTAAATGGAATGAGTAATGCTTTCAAGAAGAGGCTTAGACAGGCTGGCCTGGGGTGAACCCCGCTGGTGTGGAGGACAGCGCTGGTTCCCTCAGGACAGGGACGCAGGCCCCTCGGGATGGGACCCTGTCCTCTGTGGCTGTTCCCATGCGGCCCAGCCCTGGAGTTCTCAAGCCCGCTTTTCTCCAGACTTCCCCAGGTTGTGAAAGCTGCCCCCGCGGGCCCTGCTGGTGGTTGGTGGCCTTGGGTGTGGGTGGGAGGAGGGGAGTCCTCTGCAGTGTCAGCGTTGTCTGGACCACAGGGCAGAGTCCCCCCGGGGCTGGGCGGGGGGTAGTCGCAGGGCCAGACAGCCTCTGAGGCTTTTGCAGAGTGAGACAAGGCCCTCGGCCAGCAGTGCTTGCTTGTCCCTGGGCAGGGTGGTCTGTCCCCAGGGAAGTCCCTCACAGACTCAGAGCTGGGTTCTTCCCGGGGCCGGCCCCCAGGACCCCCGTGCACACACACACCAAACTCAGCCCAGGAGAAGGGTGTGAGCACAGACAGGGCAGGGAGCCCCCACGACACCCCAGACCCGCACGCAGGCGCCCCGCAGTGTGAGGCCAGCCTCCCTGGGCGCCCCCGGGGTGTGTGGGGCCAGCCTAGCCCGCCGTGTGCCTGTGCGCAGGACAAGGCCGTGGCGGAACCGGTGAGCCGGCTGCTGGAGAGCGCGCTGAGGAGCAGCCACCTGCCCAGCGCGCTGGGCGCCCTGCACGGCGTCCTGTACGTGCTGGAGTGTGACCTCCTGGACGACACCGCCAAGCAGCTCGTCCCCGTCGTCAGCGACTACCTCCTCTCCCAGCTCCAGGGCAGAGCCCAGTGAGTGGGCGCGGCCGGCCCCGCCTCAGTCTCCCGCCCGGGTTTGTCCGGCGGGGCGGGGGGTAGGGGTGCCTGTGAGAAGTGCACAGTCTCCGCGCGTGCAGCAGACCCCGGCTGAGGCGCCGGCAGGGGCCCACGTGGTCGCCCTCCTTACAGGGACTGGAGGACAGTGCGCGGGGCCGGCAGACAGCACGGCGGCCGTGTCACTGATCCTGGCCGACGTCTCGGTTTCAGCTGCGTGAACGTGCACAGCCAGCAGCACGTGCTGGTGATGTGCGCCACAGCCTTCTACCTGATCGAGAACTACCCGCTGGATGTGGGACCCGAGTTCTCAGCCTCCATCATACAGGTGAGCCGGCCTGGCTTGGGCTGTGCTCTGCGACCGGGCGCTGGGCCGGCCGAGGCTCCCACCTGGGAGGAGGCGGGGCGCCCGGAGGCCCAGAGCGGCCCTTTGACCGGAAGCCTTCCCCATGCACAGCTGTGTGGGGTGATGCTGTCCGGAAGTGAGGAGGCCACCCCGTCCGTCGTCTACCACTGCGTCCTGAGGGGCCTGGAGCGCCTCCTGCTGTCTGAGCAGCTGTCCCGCCTGGACGCGGAGTCCCTGGTCAAGCTGAGCGTGGACCGGGTGAATGTGCACAGCCCGCACCGCGCCATGGCGGCCCTGGGCCTCATGCTCACCTGCATGTACACAGGTGAGCAGGGCGCCCCGGCCTGGCACGCATGCACCGCTGAGCTCCAGGCGCAGGGCTTCTGGAGGCGCCTCCAGTTCTGTGGGCCACGCAGCAGCTCTCAGACTGACCCCTGTGCCCTGCGGGTCTCGGCTGGGCCCCGTCCTTCTAGTGTCAGACCATCAGCAGGAGTTCAGTAAACTCCTGTGTGAGCGCCAGGACCCCTTCCCAGAACCGTCCAGTTTTACAAACTAGCGGCACGAAACGGCACTGTTCCAGGAAAGGAGAAAGTCAGTCCGGGCCGAACGTCCGAGCCCAGCCCCGCTGCCCCTGACAGCGAGTCCGTGATTGTGGCGATGGAGCGCGTGTCCGTCCTCTTTGACAGGTGAGCGCGAGCCCGCCTGCCCGCAGCCAGTAGCCTGCTTCCTGCCCCTGCCCTGGCTCCACGCTGCGTGCAGTCCCAGCACCCAGCGCCCGGGTTTGGACACAGGGGGGGCCCCAGGGCTGTCCTGAGCGCTGACCCAGGTCCTCGTGGCGAGGGGCACTGTGGCAGTGTCGGGGGCCTGTGAGGAGACGGCCTGGAGCCTGCTCGGGGACGGAAGTGGCCGTCCGAGCTGTCACCATGTAGAGAAGGGCCTGGGGGCCGCGCCAGCAGCGGCTCGGGGGGAGGCTGCTCTTGTGGCCCTTGGACATCCTTGCCAGCAGGCAGCATCCTTGAGAGCCTGGGATGAAGGCCCGCCTCCATGTCTGTGCCCTGGTATGTGTCCAGGACGGGGTGGGCGCCTCGTCCGGCTCTGCCCCGGGCCTCAGCCTGTGTCTGTGGTCTCGGGGAAGCTGGCTCTGCTCTGCGCCCCTCAGCTCTGGTCAGCTTGGTCAGCAGGCGGTCACCCGGGTGATCACGAGAGCACACTCCGCAGAACGTTCTCCAGGTCCACTCTGGCCGGGTGAGGCACTCTGGAGAGCTGGGCGTACAGGCTGTGCCCACGTCGCCTACTTCAGTGAGCGTCCGCAGTCCCGCGCTCACCCCACCAAGCCCGTGGAGGCAGGCAGGGCGCCATGCTCCCGTGGGGCTCACGCTCGTCTTCCTGTGAGATGAGTGCCTGCACCGAGGCAGGGCCGACATTCAGCCTGACTGCACGCTCGTGTGTGGGGGACTCTGGGTTGACGACGCTGACTCTCCTGTGTGGGTCTCGCGTCTGGGGGTCGCGGCTGGCGTCTGCAGGCAGGTGGAGCAGGCTCACCCAGGTGGTTTCCAGGTCCCTTCCGGTGCTTTTCAGTCACACACGGCTTTTTGATTGGTTCTGGGGAGCCCACCCCCACGGGCTCCAGAGTCTGCTGACGTGCAGGCCCCTCATGTGTGCTGCTGCAAGGGGCCCGCCTCCGTACCCCCGAGGCCTGCGTGCACTCAGTTTCCTGCAGATGGGGCTTGCACCCGGAACACACGGACGTGGAGGGCTGGCGGCGGAGGTGTGCTGATGGCCAGTAGGCCTAGTAGCCCGCTGGCTGCCTCTTGGCTCTGGGAGGACCCTGTGCACGGGCCCAGCCGCGGGTGTGCTGAGGGCAGGCGGCCAGGAGTGCTGGGGCAGGGCTGCTGACAGGTTCCAGGAGCGTGCACGCACCTGAGGGCCTCACGAGGACGTGGGTCTGTCACGAGAGACTGTGCAGTGATGTCACCGCCCCAGCCGTCCGTGCTGTTACTTCAGGACGCCGGCTGGGTCGGGAGCCCCCCGGGCTGGGGAGCGCGGGCGGGACAGGCTCTGAAGCGGGCTCCCCCCTGCACCACCACAGGATCCGGAAGGGGTTCCCCTGCGAAGCCCGCGTGGTGGCGCGTGTCCTCCCCCAGTTCCTCGACGACTTCTTCCCACCCCAGGACGTCATGAACAAGGTCATTGGCGAGTTCCTATCCAGCCAGCAGCCATACCCGCAGTTCATGGCCACTGTCGTGTACCAGGTGAGGGGCCGGGGCGGGGCGCCCAGGGCAGGCGCCAGGCCCTCAGCTCCTCCCCTGCCAGCGCTGACGGGGCCTCCTCGGGCCCGCGGCCTCCTCGCAGGTGTTCCAGACGCTGCACAGCGCGGGGCAGTCGTCCATGGTGCGCGACTGGGTCATGCTGTCCCTGTCCAACTTCACACAGCGGAGCCCGGTTGCCATGGCCATGTGGAGTCTCTCCTGCTTCTTCGTCAGCGCGTCCACCAGCCCGTGGGTCTCAGCGATGTATCCTTGCCTGGTCCTGGGCCCCGGGGCAGCCCCGCCGTCCCGTCAGCATCCTGCTTGATGTTTGCGTCAGTGTTTTGGAAGCCTGAGTTCTGTAGGAAGCCCAGGTGTCTGGGTGACATTTCTTCTAAGCCCCGAGAAAGTGAGTCACGGACCACCAAACAGGAGCCCGTGTGTTCCCTGCGCCGAGCAGGGCTCCAGGAGGGGCCGTGGAGCGGGGAGGCCCTCAGAGGACCCCCCACGTCTGCCTGCGGTCCGTGCAGCTGGGCGGGTCGCTCATGCTGCTTCTCATTAGCCCTTGTCACGTGCTGTGTCTCACCCTCCTGGGTAAACGCTGAAGTTAGTGAAGATCCAGTTCCCACCCCCGAGATGCTGGCTGCCAAAAGGGGACGGCCCCTCCCGTCAGCCTTCCCCAGACAGACCGCAGGGCCTCGGAGCAGACAGCCGTCCAGGCGCTGAGAGTGGCCCGGGCAGGCGGCATGGTTCTGCGCTGGGTGTGTGGGAGCCAGGCCAGGTAAGCGTGACGCGAGGGGTGGCCCCGCAGGGAGGGTGCTCCTGCTTCCCAGGCGGAGCCTCTGGCTGGAGAGGCTGGACCCAGGTGGGAGGCAGCTGCTCCTATAGCTTAGGGGAGCCTCCCGGTGCCCCCCGCTGTCCGCAGGCCTGTGTCAGGGCCAGAGCCCCAGGGGAGGCAGGAACCCCTGGGAGGACAGGAGCAGGTCTCCCCGAGCTTGCCGCCTTGTGCCCTTGACTGACCGGCCAGCCTCCCACACGTCGTGAGCCGGATGGGCAAGCTGGAGCAGGTGGACGTGAGCCTCTTCTGCCTGGTGGCCGCGGACTTCTACCGACACCAGATAGAGGAGGAGCTTGACCGCAGGGCCTTCCAGTCCGTGTTCGAGGTGGTTGCTGCACCCGGAAACCCATACCACCGCCTGTTGGCGTGTCTGCGGAGTGTCCACAAGGCCGCCGCGTGCTGAGCGCCCACGCGGCTGGCGACGAGGTGGTCTCTGGACCGCAGGACCTGGCCTGTGCCAGGCAGCAGGCGGCACGGGCTTCCCGCCGCATGGTGGCGAGGCTGCACGCAGGGCACACGCAGTAACGTTTGGGGTTGAGCCTGAGTCCTCTCGGGGCAGGAGCTGCTGTGGTGGGCCTCGCACCGGAGCTGGTGTGGAAGCCAGCTGCCCGGGTGTTGACGTGCTCCTCCCGTCCCGCCCTCGGCTGTCACCAGGTCCCAGCTGCTCCCGCCTGGGGGGCAGGATTCCTCTGCTCTTGCCGGCGAGCCATCAGCCCTCCGCTGTCCCGCAGGCGGGAGGGGACGCCACAGGCTCTGAGGCACAGGGTCCTGGGGTGTCTTGGGCTCCTGCAGGGCACGCATGCCGGGTCTGGCCAGGCGGGGGGGCTGGGAGCGTGACAGCTTCCGCTGTCCTCCCCGTCGCTGTCTTCTCAGGATTTAAAGTTTAATTCTATCAGTAAAGAGATTAATTTTAAGGTAACTTTCTACACCCGTGTACAGTCTGTGCATCACCAGGTCAGCGCTGCATGTCACGGCCTCCAAGTGGGTGGACGGGGTTTGTGTCCCCCCCCGCCGCGGGGCTCACTGTCTGGCAGCCCCTTCCCCTAACGCCAAGCTCCCGCCATGCTGCCCTCTGTTATGAGCTCCCGTTTGGCATTCAGGGCAGCGCCGGCATCCGGTCAGGAGCCCTGGTCCTGCTGAGGGCGGGGAAGGTGCCGGCCTGGCTGTCCTGGCTGTGGGCAGTCAGCTCCGAGCAGGGGCAGCTCTCTGGTGGTGACAGGCAGCTTGCGGGCAGTTAGCCAGCCAGGCCGGCCCCCCGCACCTGCCCTGGCCTGGACTCCGGCCTGCCCGGGCCTGGCAGGTGTCGGCGTCCAGGCCCGTGCCCCTCCTGCGTCGTGGGCCCAGCCGCTCGCTGGCCGGCAGCCCTGAGGGCGCAGCAGCTTGATGTGTCAGGAGCAGAGCTCAGTGTCCCGGCGACTGGTCGAGGAAGGCCCCAGCACCGCCTCGCCTGTCTCTGTCCATCGGCGGGGCCTCCTTCCAGCTCAGGAGAGTGCAGGTCTGTGCCCGCAGGGCCAGTGCTGGGCAGGGGGCGCTGGGCACAGCCGCCACTCCCACCCCAGGCCCTGGCCCTGGCCCAGCTCGTTTCTGGACCCAGAGCAGCCTGGTCATCCCGCTCCCACGAGGCCTGTCAGTGGGGTGCGCGTGATGGGGGGCTGGCAGAGCCCTTCCGGGTGGCTCTGCAGAGCCCCGGGACAGCAGGGCCTCTGGTCAGCGGCACGCCACCCAGCTTGGTCAGGAGCTCAGGCGCATCAGGTTGGGTGTCTCCTCGGCAAGTGGGGATGACCTGCCCCCATCGTCCAGGGTCTGTAGGGGCAGGAGGCTTGGGCGCCCCCTCACGTGTCTGGCTGACATACCGCCCACTGCACACACCCCCTGCAGGCCCCCCACTCCCGCCCACGTGTTGGGGGCCAGCCAGGGTCAGAGTGCGCAGGGAGCCCCTCAGAGCTGCCCTAGGCGCCCGGGCACCCCGCAGACGGCCTGGCAGTGTGAGCGGTGGACACGGGTCAGAAGTTGGAGCCGGGGCCTTGAGGGCAGGGCTATGACCTCCCCACCCTCCTGCCTCTTGTTTGTGCTCACCCTGGCCTTTGCAGCCACACGCCTGCCGGAGTGACTGAACATGGGAAAGCTCTAGAACTGCGGCCCTCGCCCCAGGGTCCCTTCAGCAGCTCCAAGGGAGACATGTCGCAGGCCCGTGTTGTCTGCGCTTAGGTGTTTGCCCTTGTTAGGGAGAACACTGTGAGCGTGAAGCCGGGACCTGTCCCCTCCGGAGTCAGAGCGCTGGGCCCAGCTGAGCAGGGGCCCACCCTGGTTCCCACGTGACCGTCGGTGCGCAGCGAGGGGCTGCAGCCAGCTCTGGCTATTGGCGCCATCCAGAGACGCGCTGGCATGCCCTCCGGGAGCGTGCGAGTGCTCGGGAAGGTCACTTCATCCGTGGAGGAGTGTACGTGTGTGTGGGCGTGCACCTGTGTCTCCGTCAGGGTCTCTGAGGGTGGCCAGCAGGTCTCTGCAGAAGCCCACCTTTCTCAGACCTGCCCCGTGGGGTCGGCTGCGTGCCTGAGACGTCTGAGGGTGGGGTGGGGTTGCTCATCAAAGTCCCACTGAGGAGACGGGCCCCCTCATCAGCTGTCTGCAGAAGGGACCAACCTGAGGAAAGTCTGTGTCCGGCAGCAGTCACCTTGCCACCCCAGACTGTGTTGAGAGGATTGTTAGGGGGCGGGGAGGACAGGGTTTGTTTTCCTGCTGGTGACGCAGGGAAGATTTGAGCGAAACCAGGGTAGTTGGTGGGCGAGGCACTCGTGCGTCTTACTGTCTCTGTGTCCTGTTGCGGCCCCACTGAGCTGGGCAGGGGAGGGGGCATTTCTAGGTGCCCTCCCCCACTGTCCCCTCGCCCTCCTGCAGCACACGCGTCCTTCCGGGAGGCAAGGATGGCACTGGGACTCCCCGGGCACCCAGCCCCCCTTGTGGCTGGGCGTCACTGCCGAGCCCGGGAGTGCAGACAGCTCCCTGCGCGGGTCAGCGGGGCTGCCTGCGACCGTCTGGGGAAGCCCCTCTGGGCCGTGCAGCGTGGTGGCTCTTGTGTGGTTTGGCGGAGTGGACTCGCCCCCTCTTGGTGCTGTGGGCGTCTCTTCCTGGCACACGAGCTCGCTTGGCCTTTTTGTCCCCGTCTGCTCTGTGCCTGAAACGGGGTGACACGCGGTGGTCCTGCACGCTGGAGTGATGGTGGGGGTGTGAGAACCACCTCCAAGGTCGCTGACGCCCCCCGGAGAGCTTGGGGTGGCCTCACTTGGAGGGGACCGCCCCCCGCTGCCTGGTGCCACAGGCCTGCGCTCGCGGGGGAGCCAGGGGGTGGGCTTAGGCGGGGGTGACCGCGGAGGGGGCCTGTGCGTGTGGCACTCAGTCGTGCTGCCGAAAGAGCCCCCTCCCCCGAGTGCTTGTGGAGCCCCTGGCCCCGGACAGTCGCTGCAGGCATCCTGCTGCAGCCGGGTGGCCGCTGGCCTGGAGGACTGTGGCATCATGGACCTGCCTTGGGGGGCTGGGCTCTGAGCACGCTCCACAGCTGACTGTCCTTCGGCAGATTTGAGCTCACGCTGTCCGCCGCCGCGGTCCCCGCTGTGCGCCTGCAGGGCTGTGATGGGTGCGTCCCGGAGCCTGGCCCAGGCCCGTCTGTGAGAGGAGAGCAAAGGTCTGACATGAGATGTATATTTTAATTTTTTAAACCACTACAAATATTGTACATATGAATTAAAAGGAAAAAAAAGGTGAATTACCGTGTGAGGCCTGCTTTGCTTATGGGGAACCTCGCCCCCCTGGGGGGGCAGACCACACCAGCAGGAGCCCAGCACCGTGGGACTCGGGGGACGGGGTGACCCCCCACCAGTGCCCGAGGCTGCGGTGGTGACGTCAAGTCCCCGCAGGGCCCATGTGGTTTCGCCCCGGGCCCCAGGCGGGAGGGGTGGTCGCGGTGGGCACAGGTCCTGGCGTCTCATGCAGGGCCCGTGGCCTGACCTCGGAGCCCGTGATGCCCCCTGCCCCTTTCGCCCCGTTGGCCACTGGCCGCCATGCCCTGGGGCCAAGGGGTGAGGCTGCCCTGTCCATCTGGGCTGGTGTGTCCTTCCCGCCCGAAATGCCAGCTCCTCTGGGAATCCTCTCTACTCAGCTGCATGGGCGCTGAGGGAGCGCTGGCTGTGAGGGGTTACTCCGCTCTATGCCACGGTGCTTGCCCACCAACCTGCGGAGGCGGAGACCCTGGGCCACGGGCTGCCCGGGGACTGCATGGGCACTGAGGGAGCGCTGGCTGTGAGGGGTTACTCCGCTCTATGCCACGGTGCTTGCCCACCAACCTGCGGAGGCGGAGACCCTGGGCCACGGGCTGCCCGGGGCGGTGCTCCACAGAGTCTGCTGAAGGCGTCCCTGGTCCCAGGGCGTTGGTGGGAGTGGGCGACCCCCAGTCTGACCACAGCGGGTGCCTGGAGAGATGGCCAGCAGGCTTAGGAAGCCCGGCCTCTGCCCTGGTCGCGGCACGTGTGGGCGCTGCCCTCGTGGTGCTGCAGGAACCTACTCGGAGAGGGTCTGGCTGCTCGTTCCGGTGGCCGGGCCATGCAGGTGTTGTGTGCACCCGCTCTGCGTGTGGGAAGAGGTCAGCTCGTGTTCCCAGGCCCGTCTCCCCTGACATGCTGCAGGCCCCGGCAGCCTCCCCTTAGGAGGAGCAGTGACCCCCGCAGTCCGGGGGGCCATGCCCTGCCTCCGTGTTTAGACGAGGGCCCCAGATGCCCTGGTAGGAAGTGACAGTGTCCCACTCACCCTCTCACCCAGCTGCCCAGCACAGGTGCCCTTGGCAGAGGGCAGCCCACCCCCCACTGCCTGACCTGAACCTGTGAGCCCCTCTGGGCCCCGGGGGTTCTCAGTCCCGCGTCGCGCTCAGGGCTGCCCAGACGTCGCTGGATGGGGCATCCTGCCAGGGGCCCGCAGACACAGAGGCGGCCTGGCTTTGTGGAGTCACCAAGGCTCCTGGCAAACCACAGAGGTGCCCCGGGTCCCCGTGAGCCTGGGGGCCTTGCAGTCTGGCCTCTCGCTCGGGAAGGCCCATCCCCACTGACCTTCCGAGCAGGAACCTGGGGGGCCACCCAGATGCCGTCCCCCTACCGCAGCCATGTCCTCTGGGGCAGGCGTTGCCATGCCTCTGTCCCAGGCTGTGAGCAGACGAACCGCCAGCAGGGCCTCCACTCATCCTGGCCCTGGGGTGCTTAGGGCATGGGCGACCCCGTGTGGTGGAGCCCTGGACTCAGGGTCGGGCGTGCCCGCTGAGGACGGAGAGTTAAGGGTCTGGGCTCCCACACACATGGGAAAGGACGGTGCTGCCCCGCGGGTCACTGTGCCCAGCAGCGTCCACCCTCCTGCCCCGCTCGCCCCTGGCCTGGACTCGCCACCACGCTCCCTGTGCTTGCCCGCCTCCGCCCGGCTGGGGGTCTTAGACTGCTGTCAG